AAATTAAAACAGCACATTAATTCTTGCAAAAATTCTGCAATTGCATTGATCACATATTTTTGGTTTGCTGTTGTTGTTTGGAGAGGGGGGGGGGGGGGGGGGGTGAGTAGGGACAGTGGTATGAAAACTATCAGGCAGTCTAGCAGTCTACAACAATCTTTAATTAATGATTGGTTTATGAGTACGAGAGGATTTATTTGTTTTACTTACCTAATAGTTGAGTTTCGCGATCTCTTTTACACTGTGTTAGCCTCAATTGTATGCTAAAATATTGACGGAAATGTAGATAAAACTCGTGAGATTTCAAACTATTCCGATTGTCTTCTATACTCACAAATCTCTTRCATTTGCAYRGTCTGTTGTGAATAAAAGAATTTGTTATAGGCTAACACAGCGTGAAAGAGATYGCTAAAAGGGTTTATTAGGTACCTTAGTAAAAAGGGTACAACCACCTTTATAAAAGAAACTTTCAAGAAAAATTTATGACTGAGGAATAATACATTTCTATTGGCAAACCCTTCAAATAAAAGGTTTCATTGACATCTTGCTTTGGCCGTTTATTATACCAACAGTGATAGATTTAGTTACTTTGCTCATCTTAGAACACAATCTGGAGAGAACATCTAAGGTGATCTCCCTAGAATGTATCCCAAAATGCATAAGTAAKATTTCTGCATCATTATCAAGATCTTTACTTTGCCTTTTCCTTAATGACTTTTTATCTCAGCAATGATATTAATAATGCCCATTTTTATAGAACACATTCTGGAGAGAGCAAGGAAACTGATCCCTCTAAAATACTTATAAGATATTTTTCTTATTTACTAAAATCCTGATTGTCGCTTTCTTGACAATGCTACCAGTTTTTAAATACTTTGCTCACTTTCTGAACACATTCTCTCTCCAAGATGTGTCCCCAAATGAATAAATAATTAGTGTCCATATTAAATGAGAATGTAGATCCTGACCTAGAACCTACAATTAATCCTGGAACCTACAATTATTGACAAAACCCTTGGTCCATTCCAGTGAATTTCCTCATTTTAAGCAACAACTGCAGACTATTTCATCCTCCCTAACCCCTTAAACGCAATGTTGTTATTGAGCATGTTACCATACCATACCATATCATACAAGCATCCTAAACAAGACCCAACTTAATGAAAAGGGACAAATGGAGAGAGCTGTGAAAAAAATATTAAAAGGAGATACAGTTGTTAAACTGGAGACAAATAATTACATGTATGGTCCAAGGTTTTTGGCAACGATTATAGAAATAACAAATAACAATAATATTTTTACTCATAAGAATAAAACGGCCAAACGCATTAAAGATTTTTCTATAAAGATAACAAGCAGACACAATGACTGCATGCTGGGCGATACGAGCTAGAGCACAAGAGAAAATTTCACAAATTTGATATCTTTTCTATKGAAAAAACTACATCAGAATAAGCATAGCATACCTCTAGAAGTAAAGGAGTTTTAAAAAGTGGTAAAATAAACAGGATCAAAGCGTTTAAAGTCAAAGAATTCCATCTAAACATTACTTCACTTCTTGTTCGCTGGAATATGTGGCCGGAATATGTGCGAAGACTGGGTCCAGCGGCATTAAAGCACAGGTATCCCATCACCTTTAATTTTATGTATGCTTATTGTTATTTGTTAATTTTCGAATTCATTTATTTTTATRTGCTAAAATAATTAATGTAGAGGTAGTGAGTGTGAGTGTGAGGGCCACAAGTTCATCAGTTCTTTACTGTCACGTGTTTACCCTCGTAAAATAAAGTCGATTTATTTATTTATTTTATTTATTTATACAGGCAAGCGYGATTGTCTACTTGATTGCAATTAAGAAAAAAAAGAACATTGAATAGAAATGAAATTTAATCGCGAATGAAGTTACTGGCTGTCCAATGAACACTTATTATAGTCATAGGAGCGCAGAGATACGGATGCTATCTTCAAAGTGTTGGAAAAATAAAGTTCGTTTCTCCAAACCGGACCATGTAATATTCGTAATATTCTGTTTATCATATAATTGTATATGAAAGAAAATTATGCCGTAAAATACCCCTTTTTTACTTCCAATATATAGAGAAATCASTTGAATGTGTTATTTTCACTAATGAAAATAGATATTTTCGAAGGAAAGAAATATAGGTATTTCTCGCATTTCATAGATAATAAYTCTATGATGTATTAGAATTAGGTATTACAATTTGCTTAATTAGCGTCGTTTTTAAAGTCAGTATCAGGTAAGTTTAACTAACTATTCTTTTCTCAAATAGATCATTAATTATCATGTGTGCCCTCCACTCTAGGAGACAACGAATATATTCTTTTGTGGCGCCGACTATTTYAATTAGAACGGGAAAGTAATCCACACTGTTAAGCTTTTTAAACTAGCCATTCTTAAACTGTTGATGAGGAGCTGATAGATACATAAATTGCCATTCAATACGAGACTCTCACTCATTTACTTTGAGGTGCCGACTAAGGGATTGAAGGGAATAACTACACTCGGGTAAGCTTTTTAAAAACAGGCTAACTCTTGGCATAAAGTTTGCTCAAATTACGCTCTACATTGCTTTAGTTTCAGAGTGGCTTTCAGGAGGAGCCGATGGGGTCTGTTCTTCTAAATAACTGTTCTAGTACGATTTTTTTTTCCTTTTTTTTGGATTTTGAGCTACATTGTTGACAATCTCACAAGCAAAAGTAGCGCCCTTCCTTATTTAAAATAATTTTGTTCCTGGCAGACGTTTTTAAGAGTCAAAAAGGCTTATATAACTTTTGTATGGTCAAAAAAGGTTTATATTTTTTTAGTTAGGAAACTTGTTTTCATTTTCCTGGCAAAAATTTTTAGAAAGTATTCCTTCCCTGGAGAACGTTCTTTTTTTCTCAATTTCTCTCTGACACTGAACCAGTTGTGACTTACAGCTGGCTGGGACATAAGAACAGATATATTTCTCCCAGGAGCCCGTCGGCTCCTCCTGGACTTTAGGCGAAAGCTTAATTTCCTGAGAGTCCTATAAAACCTCCCAAAGTAACCATTGTCAACGTTATACCCCTTCTTATTGCCAGGTCGCTGAACACACGCAAACATATCAGTCGGCCTTAACTTCCACGTCACTCAATTTCTGACGCTCAAAAATCACTTAAAAGTCGCGCCCAAAATTGACAGAAGGCCCGTTTTACACTTACGATTTTTGTAGTGTGGGTTGTCGCGCGACGATTGCTCTCGCGCACCTCAAATCATACGCTGATTTTCGCAGCGATCGTCGCGGCCATCACCTGAGTTGAGAATATTMTTGGAATTTAGCTGCAGCTGTTTATACGTACGATTTGAGTTGCTACCTGCGAAGCTAGAAAAGTGGCGTCGCGCAATCGCACTCCAAATATCGCAAGCGTGAACGGGCTTAGACYTAAGTAGCTCGAGTAAAAGAAGGTGACGGCGACTATGGGTCAACTTTCCATTGTTTGAACAATTTTTGTTTAACTAAAGTTTTTTTGTTTAATTTCAGTATGGCGCTTAATCAAGAGGRCAATTCAAAAATGAGGAGAAAGCTGTTGGTCTTCTTTATCTTCTTTATTTGTCTCACTGTCTCCAGCGTGAGAGCCAGAGCAAGAAAACTACACGAAGTTTCTCCTAATCGTCCTATGGTAAGCTCATGAAAATTCTCTTAAAACTAAATAATATGATTTACAGTTAATAAAAAAACCTTTTTAAAATGACTTATGTAGATAAGCCTCCTCCGCAGGCATCACAAAGAATCACGGGCTTCCTGTCTTTTTTGGGGGTTAAAAAAGAGGGAGAATTGGAGCGAAATTTTCCTTTCTCGTCACTAGTCCCTAACGACCAAGATGACCGTTACAAAGGAAGCCGAAAGGAGGAAAAAAGAGCTTTCTGGGGAGGACTGTCATATGGAGATATACGGCGCCTGTTCACAAATATCACTGATTTCCCCAGTATTTCTAAAAATTGTCATTTGGAATTCGCAAAATGGAATTTTAGCCAGACTAGAGTACAAACATTAAATGTGTGCAATGCTTTACACAATTTACTACAAAATAGTGTTACTTAAACAATAGAAACAATACGAATTAGCATAATTTTTTAGCAGTATTTAGTGTTATTTATGTTGCACAGTTTTAGAGTTTGTACTCTATTGTCAGTTGCCACGCTAAATGATACCATATCCTACTCCTTTCGAGCATAAAAAGTATTTATCAGTTAAACTCTAAATCTTTTGTCATTTGCCAGCAACAATTCTAGCCATTCCTCATCCTGAGTATTTTACATTTATTTGATTAATTGCTCAAATATTTATATTTGTAGGACAAGCGATATGTTTGCACCAATGGCAAGTCATGCAGCTTTTCAGCGGAGTGCATCTGTGAAGGATACCGAATGATATGCTCTGCCGGCAAATGCGAAATTGCAAACGGGGGTCTCCCATTCTAACAATGAAATAATATATCCAAACYTTAACTTGGGTCTTTTGTAATCTTCATAATTAGTAGCGAACACATGCAGGACTAGATGAGGCAGTAGGCCTCTCAATGAAATTTTTYATTGGCGGARTCRAGCCAAATAAAACTAAAATGATCACTAGAAAMACGTGTTCAATTGATTAACGATCGCTGCAAAATGTTTATGTTTGTATACAGAGATAGTATGTATACTTCTT